AGGAGAAGGAGAAGGAGAAGGAGAAGGAGAAGGAGAAGGAGAAGGAGAAGGAGAAGGAGAAGGAGAAGGAGAAGGAAGAGAAGGAGAAGGAGAAGGAAGGAGAAGGAGAAGGAGAAGGAAGGAGAAGGAGAAGGAGGAGAAGGAGAAGGGGAGAAGGAGAAGGAAGGAGAAGGAGAAGGAGAAGGAGGAGGAGAAGAAGAAAGAGAGAGAGAGGGAGGAAGGGAGAGAGGCATATTTACATACGTATTTGGACTTACTTTGCGAACCCCTCTGCCAAGCTCTTCTCCGTAGTTGGTTCCAAGAATTTCAAAGTGAACATTGGGATTGCCTCCATTTTCTGCAAATTCTAGCTCTCCAGTCAAGCCATTGACCCCACCCTAATGGAGAAAACAGGTGCTGGTATAAAATTTCAGAAAGAAATAAAATTATAACATTAAAAGGTTAAAGGAAGCTCTAAGAACCCTACTTCTGCCTATACAGAAGTACTTCAGGTGTGTAATGGTAAACAGGCTAATTTTAAATAGGTACTAAACACAAGCAAGCATAACACTGAAAGTGAGTTTAGATGCTAGTGGTTCATGCCTGTAATCCTAGCTACTCAGGAGGCTTGAGATATGAGGATCTTGGTTTGAAACCAGCCCAGGCAGAAAAGTCCCTGTGAAACTCTTACCTCCAATTAACCACCCTGAAACCAGGAGTGGCCCTGTGGCACAAGTGGTAGAGCACTCACCTCGAGCTCAAAAAAGCTCAGCACAAAAAAACTCAAGGCCTTGAGTTCAAGCCCCACAACTGACAGAAAAATGTGAGCTTAGAAACCACACTTATTGCAGCCACTTGTCATACTAACATAGTAATTATGGCAAAAAGCATCCAATTGCTGCTTAGAATAACACGCTGTCAGAGCTGAGGCCTTCATGCTTTGTGACTTGTAAGCACAGGTTAGTACAATAAAAAGACGCTTGTGAGGCCATAAAAATATACTCTGGAGACAAGTTTTGACAACATGGTATGTTTTGTCCCAGCGTAATTCCATTCAAATTTGAGCTAAAATTATGGGAACCTTAATTCATGTGAACCTTAACATTCATTATTTTTTTTTAAAAAAAGCATTGTCAGTTTTCTTCCTGTGTAAATGTAGTTGCCAAAGTATGACAGTGTTGTTCTGTATATTTTAAAAAGCTGTATTTTGAATATTTGTATCATCAATGATAAATATTTGAAGACATAGATGCTTAACCTGTCCACAATATATGTATAAGCATAATGCAGTGACCACAATTTTATGTATAAAGGAAACAAATTTAATGTGTGTGTGAATACACACATTAATATAAAAGTTAAATTAGGCCTCAAAGCATTTTTTGTCTTACTGGTATTCTAGCCGTGGAGATTCACTGGGAATTTTCAAGCCTCATCTTTCATTCACCATGACAGATGTTTGCTTCCCCAACAGATGGCAATGTAGGTCATACTTCTTTCTTTCTTATTTACTATATTTTTTCCTTGTTTCGTTTACCAGCCATCATTTTATTTAGCATTTCACAAACCCACAGCACATTCTCAGTCCCTTTAATGTTAAAGTTTGTCTGCCTTAGAATCATGGCTTAATAATGGCATTTATTTAGACAACAAATCGATCTCATTTTGAAAATCACTTCAATTATCACCTCTATGATGTTGATACTTAAATATTTCTCACTTGTAACCCCATATCTGGTTTGATTTTGTTTATTCTGGGGGGGCATATTATGTATTCTCTTCCATATCCTGTTCCAGCCCACTGTAGGATGATAAAAGTTCATAAAATAAGTTCAAGAAAGAATTGTTGATTTTTCTAACCTTGATCTCAATATTTATTGTTACAACAATGATAATTAACACAATGAATCCTCCACTATGATTTTGTAATTAGTCAACTTCTCTTTTGTAATCTAATTTTACGATAAGAAAAGCTGTTGAATTTGATATCCTGGTGGGATTTTTTTTTATTTCATATATGATTTCCCAGTTAGGAGGATAACATATTTCCTGGATTTCACCAGTGACCTGAGAATCTAATCACTGTATAATCTTGGCTAATTCACTTAGCTTCTCCATGCTTCAATTTCTATATTTTTAAAATTGGAATAATGTAGTAATTCCCTCCCCAGGATATTACTATAATCCTTGTTATGGTATAATACATATAAAGAACAGCGAAGAAAACTTCATGTGATGAGAACTTAATTATTATTACCATTGCTGTTTGCTTCCACTATTATTGATTATATGTCATTCTATGTTGTATCATTTATTTTATTATTCATGTAACCTATTCTCTTTCATTTATTTTCAGATTAAGCATGAAAAAACAGTCTCCGTAAAAATGTATGCTGCCCACGGCATAAATTTTGGAATCATGGTTTTATTCTTTCTCATCTTAACAGACCTTTACTGATCACCAAATGCTTTCAGTTCCCTAAATACCTCCCAGAGCTGACTCCCCCTACATCCCACAGCGCATGCGCTGGCTGGCCTAGATCCACTCTTAAGTCTGAGCATCAGCCTTTTCCTTGGTGCTCTCTCCCTGGCTCTGTCTAAGCCAATGACAGATGTGGAACGGATCCTCCATTGTCCTCATGAGAGCCTTATGGTCATTTGGTGTTGTCACCATCTTGTTTTTAAGACATTTCATGGTCACTTGAGGCCTTGAACAAAGATCAGGAGCTTGAAAATAGTTTCCAAAACCCACATGGTCTTTCCCCTATCTCTCTTAGCTAATAAGGAACTAAGTCCTTCTCTTCTCTTCTTGCCATTGCTGGCCAGATGCTAATGTATGCAGAGGTTTTCCTCTAAGCCTTCAGATTCTCTTCATTTGTCATGCACTGTTTTTCCTTCCCTATTCCTGGAGTATTCTTGCCTTTCTGGATTCATGAATGCCTCTAAGTGCTTTCAATGATCTGTGTCACTCTTAGGTCTTTTTTTTTCTTCTGGTCCTGGAGCTTGAACTCTGGGCCTGAGTGCTGTCCCTGAGCTTCTTTTGCTCAAGGTTAGTGCTCTACCACTTGATCCACAGTGCCATATCTGGTTTTTTTTCTGAGTAGTTGATTAGAGATCAGATTCTCATAGTCTTTCCTGCCCAGGCTGGTTTAGAACTGCAATCCTCAGATCTTAGCCTCCTGAGTAGCTAGGAGTACAAGTGTGAGTCACTGGCACCCAGCCTCTTAGGTCTCAATAGGATCTTTAGTCATATTTCAAGAGCAGGTGGTGTTCTCCTTTTGTTGAACTGATCACACTTGTGCCATTCACAGGATATGTTTTCTCTGATGTCAACATTTATCAAGATTGATAAATGTCAATGAATACCAATAATATATTGGTACTTAAAGATTTGGGTGACTCAACAAACACAGACATTTTCTATTTTTCAGTATTGAAAATAATTAACACAAGGATGTCACACAAATTGTTCAATTAGACTAATGTGAGAATATTTAAGGATCTATTGAATTTTAATTGGCTAGCTTGTATAGACTACATAGAAAATGGCCTATGATTTCTTTTACATATACTCAGTCACAATTTTTATTTGGGGCAGTTGATGGAAGAATATTCTGTCTAGAATGTAAAAAAATCCTTTTTTGTCTTTGGGTTATTCACAAAGTAAATCCTTTCTCTTCCCCTCTCCCCCCACCTCACTCAAACTCTTTTTTAGTCCCAATAATTATCTCCATGTGTTCTGGAAACACTGGAAAATTAATCAGCTTTTGTCACAGCATGCATGACTTCTTCTAGTAGCTGTGAGAGCTAGTATGTCCCATCACCTAGGGCATCCTTTTACCAGTGCTTTGCTTCTCCCATGCCTGCTGCTTTTCAAGCTTCCATTAGAATGCTACGAGGTCCCTGTAAATGTTTCTAATGTGCTTTCAGTTTTATGTCAAATTCTACAGGAAACAGCTCTGAGATGGTGATGCACTTATATGCAAGGATGTTTACTTAAGGTGGTCTTAAGAGAGTAACAGATGAGGCATTTGGCAGAAGATGTGAAAAGTGTGATACGAATAAAATAGCCACGTAGGCTGTCCAGTGGGCAAGCCATCATTATTCCTATGTGAGGGAGGAGAGTTATGTCCTGACTGGTCATGGAGCCTGATGCTCCCTAGAAGTGAGTGAAGCAGTTCCCATCTACCCAGGGCAGTTCCTAAATGGAAACTCAGCTGTGGGTTAGGTAGCATGACCTGGTAGAAAATGCATGCCTCATTCACAAAGCAGGTGGGAGCATGTAACACCAAACATTACACCCTTCTAGGGTCCACAGAACCCTGTTTCAACCTTACTTAGTTCTTTTTGTTGAATCTGGCCTTAGATAACAATTTTCTGTGTGCTTATCAATATTCACTACCTATTTTTATATTTTTTTATATTTTTTTACTTATTTTATATTTAAGTGCATTTGTACAGTCCATACCCTAATAGAGATATTTGATATGTATCTGTAGAAAGGGTGATAAATGAATGAATGAATGGATGGATGGATGGATGGATGAATGGATGGATAAAGTGTACTCCTGGAAATTGTTTCATTTATTAGGAATATCATCACTAAGACACAATGGGAAATTAGCAACTCTGTTAAAAAACAACAACAACAACAAAGAGATAGGCCAGGCTACAAGTGCATCATGCTAATTTACTACCTGTGAGAAAGCTGGTAGTTCTGCACTGGGTAAAGTAATTTCTAAGTGTTTCAGGCAAGTGCTTTCCAGTGTGGCTCTCAGCACTGGATGTGGTGTTTGTCTGTCTTTGGAAATGCCTCCCTCTCTTATGCTCCCATAGCTGCCCAGCCTTTATTGATTTGACTCACTTAGCTTAAAAAAAAAAACAAGTTTGAAAGCTTGCTCGAATTTAATCAATTTATTAAATTAGAAAACATAAAAAATCCTTCCTAAAATATATCTATGACAATTAAAGGTAGCTTTTGCAAAAAAAAAAAGGCATAGGGAAATTTACATATGGCTTGTATAATACTAACACATAATTTTTATTTTATTATTTCTTAGTGAATGTGTTTATATTAACCAAGGGATTTTCACTGGAGTGATTTTCACAATGAAAAGAGTAAGTGAAATAGAACAAAGAACATGAGATTAAGAGCCAAGACATTTGGCATTTAAAACTAATTATCTGTGTCACCTTCAGCAAATCATTTGATTTTTGAAAATTTGTTTCCTATACCTTGAAATTAGCATAGTAATGTTAGACTAACACTATTACAATACCACACCACTCTAAAATAGTATGTTTTTAATAAAAACCAAAATTTTAAGCATAAAAATACCAAACTAGTGGGGTGCCTATGATTCACACCTGTACTCTTACCTTCTTATGAAGAAAAGATCTGAGGATCACAATGTAAAAACAGCCCATAAAGTAAAGTGTGTGAAAACTTTATCTCTGATTAACCAGCAAAAAGCCAGAGTGCATGTCACTCAAGTGGTAGAATATCATCCTTGAGTGAAAAAGCTAACAGACAGTGCATAGGCCCTGAGTTCAAGCCAGAGTACCAGCGCACACACACAGACATAGACACACACACACACACACACACACACACACATATACATGTATAAATAGTAAAATAAACACAGGGTTTTTTATCATAAGATTTAAACATACATTTTCAAATAATACCTTAATACATCTATTTTTAAAACATATTTTTTAAAAGATGTTTTAATGATTCTAATTTGAGATCTGAAATAGAATTTTCTGAAAATTTAAAAAGACAACTAGAATTGAAGACATAATGTTCATTTTATGTGAAGCTGACATAAATGTCATGTTCTTTCAATTTCGTATTAGCAATATGAATGCTAGCATCAAATTGGTAGACTCAAGTCAGGGTGGGTCTGCTGGGACACACTAGTGAGATAGATCTTTACTCCAAGTGTCTAGGTGTATGTAATGTCAACAGCTTCAACATCTGAATGTAATAACTCAAACACTATTTTGAAGATCAAGTTGACATGTGGATAAAAGCAGTGATGTGTACATTGTTCAAACCTAGATTCTCCTTCATAGGGTTAACATAGTCCTTTGAAAAATGGTGTGATTTACAAAAAATATATAAATAATGCTCTCAAAATAAGATGGAATAGTTATGATGGTAATTCACTGTTTTGATTCTAAATTTTCTAACAGCAACATTTTTCTAGTGAATGGCTCTGTGAGGAACACCTACCTATGGTGTCTCTCTTCCCCGCTGTTATTCTCGGTAAGTGTCTCCTAAGCAACCTCCTAAGCCATTAGTCTCTTTGCTAGAAGGCTTGAGAAGAATGCCCATATTTAGGATTCTGTGTCCTAGCCAAACCATGAATTAATAAATTGGCAGGATCAGAATCATGTTCAACAACCTCCCCTGGCTTCCTACCTGCCAGCATTCTGCACAGATAGACCTGGGAGGTTTTGGCAACACCTTGATTTCTATTTGATCTGCTCAGTTCTCAGCTGAAAGATGTTTCTCTGCCAATACACTCAATACAGTTTAATTCTCAAGTACTTGGCTGATAAGTGTCTGAATACTCATTAAAGTGATTCTTTTGCACAGAGCAAAGAGAACCAATAGAAACATCCAGGCGATTCTCCATATGACAGATTTCTTCTACTTTCTGGGTTTGGGTGGAGGTGTTGTTTTTGTTTTGTTTGTATATCTACTTCACTGCCAATGTTAAATTTTAGTGTTCTTTCTCTAACTTTTTTAAATAAATGCATACTTCAAATTACCAGATGTTTTGTCATTGTTGTTCCAGGAGAGAAAGATAAACATATTCAGAAAAGAAAAGGATGGATACGATAAAGAAGATAAACTTCCCATGGCTGTCTTCTTTGTGTAAAGGGTATGGGAGTAATTTGTTTGTTTCATTAATCATTTCATTCTAAATCCAAGGAGCTGTGCAAGACAAACGGAAAATGTCAGCAAGGACGACATGACAAAGAGGTTAATAAACTGCAGAGTGCTCATAGCACCGAGACGAGCGGAGCAACAAAAATGGCCTTGTGAGAATGGCGAAGGTAACTATGTCAATGCGGGTCACAGCGGGTAGGTAACCCCTGACAGTGAAGAAGAAAACTGCAATGCAATGCAAAACTAGATCCCCAGTGCTCTAACATATTAACTGTTCACAGCCATGTCTTCCTTACAAGGTTAAAGTGATCAATTGGGCACCCATGGCTCATGGCATAGCTACTCAGGAAGCTGAGAACTAGAGAGAACTCTGGTTTGAAGCCAGCCTAGGCAGAAAGGCCTGAGAAAACACCATCTCCTAGGTGACTAGTAAAAAGCACGGGTAGAGGACTGGCTCAAGCAGTAGAGCACCAACCGTCCAAGCAAGCAAGCTGAGTGAGCATGCGTGCCCTGAGTCTGAACCTCTGCATGATCCCCCCCTAAAAATGTAAGTCACAATGTCTTACCATGTGTCATTTACAAGAAAACATTAGGATATTTTTTCAGTTGGTAGTACAGTTTTATAATAGCAACAACTAAAAACAACTGTTGTATCTAAATCCTAATGGTACAATCATGGTAAATAATATCTCAACCAGCCATTATTACTTGCATAAGTTTCCTACGTAAAAAAATAAGGGCTCTTTTGGGCAATGCACGGTTACAAAAATCCTGACATTTCTTTATATATATACATATATGTATATATATATATACATATATGTATATATATACATATATGTATATATATACATATATGTATATATATGTATATACATATATGTATATATGTGTGTGTGTGTATATATAATTCCTTTATATATACATTTATAGATAGTATTTATATATGTATAGATATAATATACATATATAATGGATACTATATTATATTATATAGTATAGTATATGTATATATATTTTTTTTCTTTCTCATTTTGTGCTCTGAAATGCCTAAAATATTCTTCGTCAGAAGAAAGACCCTTTTACAAGCATGTCCAACACTGATTTGGGCATGCGCACCAGGATGAGTGAGGGACTTGTGGGTATTTACCTTCTTGATGGTTTCTAGCATGGACCGCCCTCCCTGCCAGGGTTTCGAATTCTTCCTGATGCACGACAGACTCGCCATGCTGTGCCACTTCCGGTCCTCTAGCTTCTTATGAAAAGCATTAGCAAGCAGTAGCACCGTGTCATAAATGTACAGGTTTGAAATCTGAAAAGACAGTAGACAGTGATCATTAAAACCACCAATGCCAGATCCCCAGGATAAGGAACACTTCCTCTAAGCTGAGATCATGCACGTACCAGCCATGGCTGGTTTATTGGGTTATTCGTGAAGCAGGCTTCTTTTTACATTTCCCAAGAAATTTTGCCATTGAAAAAATGCAGTCTTGTCTGATTGTACGACTCCACTGTTTCCCCTTTACGCCTGGCTTACTCGGTTGTGAAAGAGCAGCTACAAAGCGCAAAGCTGTAGAAATCATGGGCCCTTATTTCTGTCTGAGGAGTAAAGGATCTAAGGGTTTAAGATTGCAAGGGTATGCTGAATAATACATTTTCTAAATATGGCAGATCCCTGCCTTTTAGTTATTCAGGTGAGATCAACTAATCAACCTGCGATCAACTCCATCTCATATAGATGAGAGTTATAGGTTCACAGAAAGAAGCAGAGTATGCATTTGGGTTTCTGCTCTTCTGTAATGCAGAAAGGAAAGGAAATCAAGTCATTCATAAATATTACAAGAGCAAGATATACAAAAATAATATAGGCATACACATTGATTATGAATCATGGATATGACAAATATCATGGACTTAAAATTTGTGAATGTGAATTTATAGCTACACTTTCTTCTCCTAAGATGTTATCTTTTTTCTATACAGACTAAAAACTTATAACAGAATCTTGCTAAGGTTAATCTAGTGTTACAATTATGTCTTGCAAGAATCACTATTCATATTATCAATTAATTATAAAAAGTGCTTATTTTTCTGAGAAATTAGAATTTATTTAGAAAACATGAAGGTCAATCAAAGGTGTTAAATGTTACATTATTACTTCTTAGAGGAAAGTCCTGATAGAAAATAAATCTGAGAAATTAAGGGAATGATGGAAATTAATGTCTCCCCAGATCCTGAGTTCAAGCCCTAGTGCCAGTATATGTACACACACACACACATGCACACACACACACACACACACACACACACACACACATACACATGCAGACATACACACACAAAGGGGCAATTTCATTTTAAACAAAAATTATCTATTTCTCTGGCTGCAACCAACACCAATGATTATTTGCTGAGCAAAAACATATACTGCTGCTAACGTCTAAAAGTCAGGGTCTTGTACAGATTCACCATGTTCTCTTGCTGCCCTGTGATAATGACTGCTCACTGACATCACTGAACATGCAACAATCTTCAGCATATTGTCACTTGCCCTGAAACTCCCTCGGTCCTTATACTAATCATTAGCTGACACAGTTTCTAGGCTTTTCCACATCTCACTTTCTGCCTTCTGTCTTCTCATTTTTCAATGTTTCTGTTAAAAGTGTAGTAACTAGCATGCTAGTGCAGATGTGGTGTGATTAGGAGATAATAATGAAAGAATTTGTATCCATCTCTTGATCTTAGCCAAAGCCTTCTAACATAAGAGTCAAAGGTTGTATTTAAATAGTTTACAGGCTTGTACCATGATCATACTGAATTTGTTTTCAACAGTTTCAAACTACTGTCCAATCATGACTCTTCCAGCTAGACTTTGTGCAATTGTTTTTTTTAAAAAACATACTGTGTGTGTGTGTGTGTGTGTGTGTGTGTATGTGTGTGTGTGTATACATCTAATCTTGGGGCGTGAACCTAGATGCTTTCCTTAGGATTTCCACTCAAGGCTGGTGAGCTACAACTTGAACTAGACCTCCACTTTAGGCTTTTTGGTGGTGAATTGGAAATAAGAATCTCAAAAACTTCCCTGTGTGAACTAGCTTTGAACTGAGATCCTCATTTCTCAGCCTCTTGAGTAGCTAGAATTACAGCGTGAGCCATTGAACCTTAGCTTGAACCTGTAATTTTATCTCTGTACAATTTCAACTTTCAGATTTATTACTCAATATTAATTTTTTATCTTGAGGATGTGACAAATCATATGTTTTCTCTTGAGGCTTTGTGTTAGCTGTAAATCAGATAATCGTTTTATCCATATTAATTCATGTAGTGATTAGAAAATAGTAACTCTGAGGTCAGAATCTTGTGGATGACCGCAGAGTCTCTTGCATTTCAAGAATAAAGTATTTATCTGTGTAATTTGAATATTCAATTGTTTCTTTTCCTTAACATGAATTTCACCAAGCAGTAAATAGCTCAATTCCTTTATCATATATTGTAAAGGGCTTGCTCCTACCAAAGGGATCTTCTTTCCATTTTTTATTATGAAACGTAAGTTCAATTAAGAGTTTTTGGGGCACTAATTGAAATTTATGAAGCTTGTCTTCAGCTCTTAATAAATCCCATTTCCCTTTCTAAATACAACAAAATTGGTAACCACTCAAATAGCCCCACAACATTCTCTCATTATATTGGTTAATTGGCTTTGTAGTTGTCTTAATATATCTAGAGTTCACTTGTTTTGAAATTTATAAATGGTACACTTCTGAATTCTGAGGTAAAAAACCTCTTGGTGGTCATATTTGCCTGCACTGTTTCCATAGATCCCACATTACCAATCAGAGGTAATACTGATAGGAAAAATCACAAATGTTGCTTTCTCTTACTTCAGTGAGAAAGAATCTACATCAAGCATTCTGCTTTTAGAAGACCATTTTAAATTCAAGAGCCCTGCATTCACACCCTCATTTATATAAATCTTCACATAGAAAGGTGTCAGTTTTCCATTTATATATTAAATATTTAGCAAAATGTTATCACACATAAGAGTAAAGTTGATGTAACAAGTTCTCAAAGAAAAAAGGAGTTGTTCCATTCTCTTCCAACTGTGGGTTGGAGAAGAATAAGGTCTAAAGATATGAGTTGGGGGAGGGTATGCGTTAGATAAATTTAAGATTGTGTAAATAAGTGAAATACCTGTTCCTTGGCAGACTGAAATGGAAGAAATACGCCATTGAGCAAATGTGCATTCAAAGATTTTTTTAAATTCTCTCTGATGCCAGTCATTAATTTCTTGTTTCTTCTTTCACTTCCTGCTACTTTCTTTGACAAGAACAGTTTTTAATATTTCATAATTTTCTAAATAAAAGTGCTTTCTGCTTTTCTTCACTTAGAATTCCATCATTTTCACATCAATTACATTCACAACCAGCTAATGTGCAAAGTGTCCATTATGATAAGCATGCCATTAAAAGTGGCACTAAAATTTGAACAGGTCTTTTTATGGCTCCAGGGTGGTTTACTTTGACAATTACCTTCTCACTTACATTCAAATTCACAAATAGTCACAGAGGCACAAAGCACAGAGGCAGGTGTGATAGACTTGTACAGGTTGAGATTTTATGATCCCAGCTCCTAAATGTAATCTATTTTAAGCTCACTTAAAATCCAGTGAGGAACTTCCACTCCTTATAATGTTAAATGCTAGTACTCATTAAGAAATGGTTGGATAGGGCTGGAGTCATGGCTCAAGTGGTAGAGCTCCAGCCTAATAAGAAGTTCTGAGTTTAAACCCCAGTACTGCTGATCATATTATTACACACACACACACACACACACACACACACACACACACACACCAGCTGGATAAGCACAAATTCATTTAAGGATTCTCAAAGGTGACTAAAGAAGGAGAGATTATGGGATTCATTTTCTAGAGAAGTATGAATTAATCTTCCCAAGGCTGTATTAGGTTCAAATTGTTCACACTGAACATTTCCTAAGTACTATTTTCCATAATATTTGAACATATCATTTATAGACTATATTGTTTTCCTCATTTTTAAAGCTGATGGTGACTGATGTCTTTGCAGATACTCAGTTACTGTTTTTAAGTACTCACCGATATGCTAACATTGTGCATAGCAGTAATCTAAGGAGCTGCTTCCGCACAAATCCCTACACTAGTAAGATGCAGTTTATCTGATTGATTCTTCCTTTTTTCTCTGGCTTTTCCTGGCTACAGTCCTCTTTCTCATTCCTGCTGTTGGTGCAATGCCTACTGTGTCTAAAACCCGCTGCAAATTGGCAGCTTGAAATCACCTGTGCAAAGAGGAAAAATCTGATGGGATTTTCCTTCAGAAAAAATATGCTCCAAGTGAGTATTTAAAGAGCTTTCTTACGAGTGAGCCACAGGATTCGGTGTTTTTTCTCTACTTGCTGTTTAGAGATTTATCATCCAAATTCTCCATTGTTCTCTGACTGCTGAGGATCCCAGTATATTCTACCCAGCTTGCACATGACTAGACAATACTGAGCAGGCTTTGGAATTTTATATACATTTTGTGCTGAAAGTTTGTTACTATTTAAAAAAATACTCATCTACAGTTTCGATGGATTTCAAGAAATTCATTTTAAAAAGAATAAATGCCTGTGTCCTGTGTGCACGGCCAGGCAACCAGCTTAGTAGTTGTGGGGGTTAGCCTTTGGAGTATGAATCGCAAACTCTACCTTGAGAAGTGCCAGGGATCTACTTGCTCTGAAGGAAATAGCCTTTGACTATTATATTTTTATTAAAGAAGTAGACATTTTTCTATAATAGGATCAAAGGAATAAAAGACCCAGTTTCTCAGCAATCTTTCCCTATCAAGCTTATTAAATTTGTGGAGGAGCAACATCGCTCTGAGATGACAACACATAATCCAGACCCCGGCGCAATCCTAAAAGATCTCTTCGAAAGTGGGCAATGATGCATTCTGGACCAAAAAAAAAAATCCCCCATAACCCAGATATACCTCCATATTCTGAGCAAAAGGATCCTTTGGATCGCAGAGTGTTGAAGATATCCGATGGTTCCCACGGAAACAGCGCTGGCTTAAATTCTGGGGGATGGGAAAAGTCTGTCGAATAATCGTTAGCCTTCCAATAGACCTTCTTACAAGTTCCTGTACATCCGCATCGTTTATTTCCTGTAAGATAAGTAGTAGCAGAAGAATTAGACATTCTTTAATTCAGCAACAGGAGGAAAAGAAGGCAAGTAGTTAGGTAGAAATGCAGTCTACAATACATTTGCTGAAGACTCGGCACCTAGCAAAACAAAACAGCTCATGCTCATTAAAATGATCAAGGTATTTGTCATTACTTTCTGTGCTTTCAATAATACTGATTCACGTCTAAATAAATTCTAGAGAATTTGACTTAAACACACTTTACTAATAGCAATAACCCTTGGTTATGTTCGATATATAATAGAAAATTATCAGGATGGGTGAAAACTTGAAATAGCTCACAAAACCGTGTTCAGTTATAACTCCTTATTCACTAGTGGATTTCAAGATATTTTGAGGATGGAGGAAGGTAGCTGTAATATGTGAGTAATTGTTCCTAGCAATGAAAAATGAGGCTTTTAAAGTGAGGTGATTACAGGGAGCAAGAAGAAATATTATTTTACTATTATCTTTAAGTAGTTGTATAAAGGAGTTTCAACTCAACTTGTGAATTCCCCTCAAAGAGGAAAACATTATAATATATTTTTCTTTATCATTATTAGAGCTCACTTATATGTCTCTCTTGGTCAGGGATAGATAAAATAAATTTCTCATAGTTTGTGAATGTGTAAGGTAGTTTATCATTGTCCTGACATAAAATTGCAAAGTTCTGTTGGTGAATAAGACTGAGCCAGGCTTAGTAAAGGGAGAAAAAACAATTTCCCTGTGCTGGTGAGTGCATAATTCAAAAGTGTAGTTCCTTTTCTCCTGCCCACATAACCCCATAGTTAAATATTCCGATTTGGCTTAATAACATATAAAGAAGTAACTGTATATTTTTCTTTTTCAAAGCTTTGAAATTCTTTTTTAATTGTGAAAATACCATACAGAGGGGTTACAATTACATGAGCAAGGTAATGAGTACATCTCTTATCAAGCATTGTTGCCTCCTCCTTTGTTTCCCCTTCTCACCCCTACCCTCCCGTCCCCTCCCACCACCCTCCCCTTCACCAAAGTTGTAAAGTTCATTTTTTGACATAACGTCTTGTACATCTCATTGTTGCAATGGGTCCACCTGTATCCCAATTTGTTTTTTCCCTTCCCTTCCCCAAATTATACCAACATCAAATACAGTTAAAACAGGAGTTATACCATCGGAGAGGGACATACAAGCAACAAAGAAATCATCTTATAAATATGTTAGAAACCATAGTAAGAAAGAAAAACTATTTGAGTCCTTATCTTGGGGTTCATTTTGCCTAACATCAACTTATCTGACCGTTTCTGCTTGTCTCAGACATATATTAGTTATTGCAAATATAAAATTCATCCTTTCTTTGTGATCTTTATGAAATATAGATTTTTCTGAAAATAAAATAACACCTACCCATCACTAAATCCAGTGTAATATTAGAAATTTCTGGGCGATTAATTGTTAATGCACCATAAAAAATGTTTTTATCTCAGTTTAAAATACGTCTTTTTCCTTCAGTCTGTGTCATTTCAATGGGCACCCAAGGCTCTGTCTGGCATCTGCCTACAGATTCAACAGTGTCCTGGCAACTTCATTTTAATCTTTTCATTAGCTTGAAAATTTTAAACCTAATTGATATTAATATCGCTATCCAATACGTTTTAATGTTTAAATTTTTTCATGTTGTATAATCAAGCAGTTTTATGTTTTTAATGAAAAGGTGGTAAAAATTGTACTATTTCCTCATAATGTATACATTATATAGTAGCACTTATTAGCTTTAAAACACAAAGATATATCCAAAATTTAAGTAGTACCAGCTTTATCTGTGCAATTCATGACAGACTATAAATCTGCACATTAGAAGAAAAAAATCTACTTTTAATGAACTACCACTATATATTTGGCAAAATTTTAACTAATTTGCCTATTGGGAAATGACACTAATCTATTCATAGATTTTACTATTATCAGAAAAAAAACTTCCAAAGTCATTATACAAGAAGTTCATAATTCCTTACAGAAATTACTTTGGTTGGTATTCACAAATGTTGAAAACTATACAGATGCATTATTTCAATATTTAGCAATCTGATAATTCTGTAAAGAATGATTAAGTCATCTCTCATGAGTCTTGAGTCATGCTTTCAAACACATGTAAAAGAGATGGTTACTTTTTATACTTTCCACAAGGTTTGAAGTTCTCATGTGCCTACACCTAAGCAGATATGAAGAAATGCCAGTTTGAATTGAATAGGTTTCACCTATTTTATGTGTGAAGGAAAAAGAAATTAATTTTCTGGAAGAATCTGCCATCCTGAATGAAACCAACAGACAGTCTGTCTCAAAACTTTCACCTGCAATTTTAGTTTTGACACCTGATCTCAAAAAATCAGTGTGGTAGTGAGATGAAAACTTGATTGGGAACTCTTTTACATTTACAGACATTTTACTTCTGCAACCCAAAAGGTCCATTTAAAGGGTGACAGAATCAATGTGTTACATAAACCTAGGCAACTGATCACTTTAGCTGGAAGAAAGATTATATTGAACTATATTTAAAAGTCCACAAGTAAAATTTTTAAATAAAAAACTATCATATTGTTCTCATGTTGTTTTTAAAATAATGTTTCAGTGATAAGTTTTTTTTAATCTTATAAATAAGTAATCCACCAGGCAAATACTTTCTTGAGCCTGCAAATTTCCAAATATGCTAAATAATTTCTATAGAGATCCACAAAAATGTTCTGAGCTCTAAATAACTTAAAGAATCTGAATTGTAAAATTATTTCTTTGTATCCAGTGGCTCATACTTGTACTTCTAGCTACGCTAGAGGTTGAGATCTAGAGGATAAGGATTCAAGGTCAGCCTAGGCAGAAAAGTTCACTCCATCTCCAAAATAACTAGCCAGTGTTCAGATCACCTGTTGTAATGTGTTATGGGTGAATTGGGGGCAGAGGGAGGAAGGGATACTGAGGGGAGGATATACCTTCTGATTCTGAAGAGAGAAGACCTAACTACATATAAAAACAGTACAATGAAAGCCACCAAGCAGTGTTTGAAAAAGGAGGAAAGATAGAAATATAAAGGAGGCCATGGAGTTGTTCAAGGTACACTGCATGGATGTATGGCATTATTACAACCAAGTCTCTTTCTGTTACTAACCCCCCCAAAAAGGAAGGAATTTAATATCAGATAAAAATAAGGATTGTAAAGATTCTTTAGTTTTAAAGAATGCAATCTACAAGCTAATTAAACCGAATACAAAAGCTAGTGGGATAACAGTCTCTCCTGAGATTGGAACAGAGGCAGAAAATAAAACAAAACAAAACCAACCCACAAATACAGCCCATAGGGAGAATGACCAAAACAACAACCCAACACAAGACAAAGGCAATTGAAACTTTACAATGGAAAATTCTTTTTTAAATTCTATTCTTAGCACCTAAACATAAAAGTGGTATAATATGCAGAGAACTGTTTGTTTTCATTGAATCTTACTTTCCTAACAGAAAAAAATAGAAATGGAAAACACCTGATCTGAAAAGCTATCATGAAAGTTTGCTAAGCTTCCTTCCCTTTGGTCCTTCCTTCTGCTCTGATGGATACTTACTCATTGTAAATGGAGAATTAAGAGGTATGAAAATCTAAGCATGGTAGCATATGTCTCGAATCTCAGTACCTGGGAGGCTCAGGCAAGATGATTTTTGTTTTTTTAGTTTGAGTCCAGCCTGAGCTACATCATGAGATCTTGTCTCAAAAACAATATTAACAAAATTAGAAGAAATCAGACCCTCACTAAAACAGATCTTATAAATGTACACATTGCCTGTGGAAATCTCAGAAAAAAATCCATCTCAGTTTGACAGGAGAATTACACTGACTAAGAGATACAAATTTTGGCTGAGCAAAAACAGATTTGTAAGATGTTTCTGGCATCTTTACCCTGAGCTAAAATGCTTCACTATCAGTGCAGGGGTAAGTAGGAAACACAATGGAAAACGGAATTATTTTAACATCTCTGCATAAGGAGAAGAAAATCATTCATCCTCTGAAGACCTCACCCCTCAGTGTTCCTGGAATAACTTAGCACTCAGCACTAAAGATAGAAAGTGCTACCTGAGGTTTAATAGGAAATGATCTTCCCATGATACATTCATTGAGTCATTTGTAGCATTGACTAAGACCTCATTCAATTTTTATTATTAATCTGTAAAATAAATATTATACAAATCAATCTACCAAGGCATAGGAAAATTGTAGCTTGATAAATTTTGTACTCAGGATTCAATCTATTTTGCTGACTTGCAAAATCAGAATTCTTACCCCACTCTTTTATTCCTAAAATTTTTCTAATTTTCTGAAAGTCCATAGTAAGTACATAAGCAAATAATCCATTGTCCTTTTCTTAATTTTGTTGGTCATGGAGCTTGAACTTAGGGCCTGGGAGCTATGTCTGAGCTTTTCTGCTCAGGGCTAGTGCTCTACCACTTTGGAGATAAGAGTCTCACAGACTTTACTGCCTGGGTTGGCTTTGAACCATGATCCTCAGATCTCAGTCTCCTGGGTAGCTAGGATTATAGATGTGAGCCATTGGTATACTTCAATACATTATCTTTATTTGTAAATCATATATATGTCTGAATCTACATCTGATTGAGGAAAAAAAATCACAGTATTTGATTTGATCATATAATTAGCCAAGGACTGGTCTGTTCATAGTTCTTAGTGATCTTGACTAATAAGTACTTACTATATAGAGCTCTCAGGGATTGTAATATCTATCTATCTATATACCTATATATATATATATATATATATACACAAATACATTGTAATATATGTACTATATAACATATGTAATACATATAATGTATATATTCCCTATATGTATAATATATACAGATATACAGATATTACAAATATATATTATACAGATATATACTGTATATAGTATATTATATTGTATATAGTATGTGTGTGTGTATATGTGTGTGTGAGAGAGAGAGAGAATTGGGACTTGAACTCAGGGCCTGCTCTCTGTCGCTTAGCTTTCTCATTCAGTTAGTGCTTTGCCACTTTAGCCACAGCTCCACTTTCGGCTTTCTGCTGGTTAATTAGAGATAAGAGTCCCTCAGATTTGTCTGCCAAGGCTGGCTTTGAACTTTGAGTCTCAGCTCTTAGCCTCCTGAGTAGCTTTCAGGCATCAGCCACTCTCATTCATCTGTAATAGATGTTTAATCTTATATGTTATCTTAAAAAATAAGCCTTTCGCAAGGAATTTGACAAGTGTATGGACTTTAAAACAGTTGTATTTCTTTCTGTAAATGGAAAAAAATACCCTGTTCTCTGTTGATTCATATTCATATGCAGAACTATTCAATCCTCATGCAAAGAGGTGGATATGAAAGTTTAAAAAATGACATTAAAATATAAATGGAATACAGGCTCTCCCCTGAGGAGAATTCACTTCCCTTACAAAGAGGGACTGTACTTTTCATGAAGATGATCTTTCTAAGCAGGTAGTATGTGCCAACAGGAAAAGCTAAAAGATACTCAGTGGGGAAGACTTTCTCCATTTATATTATTCATATAAAGACTTTTATCATTTTTTAAATCCTCATTCTATTTTTGTTTAACAGCATTCACTCAGAAAGCTGAAAGTTTACTTCGGATTCTGTCTCCATAGCAATTTAAGGCCGTAGGAAATGCTGAGAGCAGCTACCTTCCCAATAGCAGGATGGAGATGACAGTAAAGGTAACGAGACTTTACCTCATTTATAATGATCCAGTGACAGTCGAAAGCAACCAAATTAGTCTCCACAACCTGGAATAGAAAACAAATGAGCTATCAGCACTGATCACATAAAACAAACCAAACAAACTAAACAGGCTTTTTGTAAATGGATGAAAATGAGTCACATTATAGGAGTTTAGATTTATTCAAAGATAAAAAACCTTTAGCAAAATGCATAGAAACATGTGTTTGATATGTAGATGCACTGCCCATGTGCTAAATCAAAGCATCCTTCATCAAAAACTTGAAACACAGAAATATAAACAATACTGTTTTGTGGTTTAACAGAGAGTGGAGTTCAAATGTACACCTTTCCATTCCAAATAATCTTTGGTAGATTTTTAATAAACACCTAATAAATACGTGAGTGTATATCCTTCTATAATTTGACTCAACTTGATTTTGTATCCTCTGTTACTGCTATGTTCCTCCGTATCTTCTTGCTATCACCTTTGTGCAAGTGAGCAGCTCCCTGTTTTCCTGAAATCATTATAGATTTGAATAGATTTAATTCTGAACTTATCTTGTTGTAACCTACTAAAAACAATTTCTATTAGATTAGCACTGACACTTGGGTAGGGAGTTTTACTAGCTTTCAGACTGCTAATAAGGTAAAGAGAAACAAATTTTACATAAAAGGAAAAGGCAAACAATAAATGGGAAGCAATTTTGGTTGACTAACTTTGGATATTTATTCTAATATTTTTGGCTTATGTTAAAAATGAGAGCTCTGTGTATTTATAAACACAGGAATTTTATGTATGTGTGTGTTTGTGTGTGTGTGTGTGTGAGAGAGAGAGAGAGAGAATGGGAAGGAGGGAGAATAGGAGAGAAAATAGCTTTAATATCAAAGCTTCTATCAATTCTTATCATATACACCTTAGACATATTCTTACGTTTCATATAATGAACTAATAAATGAAACTTCATGAAGTTATTCTTTAATTTGTAGAAATAATACTTAAGATATGATTTTTTCAAGTATGAAAGTGCTTTCTAATAATGAGCAAAAAGCTATTATAAAGCATGATCACACTTTGCACTTATTCTTTGTCCCACTGAGAATTACTTGAAAGATGAATTTTAATCACACAAAATGTAACTTAATACAAATTTGTTATGTGATTTGATGTTTTCCAAAATTTATATTGTTATTTGAAGAAACTTTGTTTTCAAATTTTGGTATGGATTTTGTATATTTTCTCTCTGCTCACTCTTTCTCTCTATGTATGTTATCTATAAACATATATCTATGTATCCATATATATATACACACACATACACATACATATGTATATACATGTGAATGTGTATATATATCATATATGTATAAGTGTATATGTATATAACATCTTAGTCTCCATGATCTTGCTAAGGTGTGCAGACAATGCATTATCTGAGAAGCATTATCTGTATTTATCATTATTGTTATTATCATTTTTAAATACAGCATGTTCAATTTATTAACAGAAAATATGACTCATAGCAATTTGTTTTAGCTAAAGAAGAAACACATTTTAGTTTACTTCAGTATTAGTAAACTTTCTAAGTTTCTGATTACTTTCTCTAATAGTTGTAGAGACATGTCATCAATAATTTATTAACAATGGAAAGTATTAGATAGTAAGTGAAAACTCCATTTGAATTTTTGAAGAGTCTTAGTCGAAGATTAAGATACAATATATAAAAAGTAAGTTTTGGGTGTCTCATACCTGAAATCCTAACTACTCAAAAGGCTGAAATATGAGAATTTTGCTTTGAAGCCAGTCCAGGCAGGAAAGTGTGAGACTTATCTTCAATTAACCCTCAAAAAGCCAGATGTGAATGGGGTTGGGAAGGTGGCTCAGTGGTAGAGCATTTGCCTTACATGCATGAGGCCCTGGGTTCAATTCCTCAGCACCACATAAGCAAAAAGAAAAAAGCCAGAAGTGGCACTGTGGCTCAAGTTGTAGAGCGCTAGACTTGAGCTGAAGAGCTGAGGGACAGCGCCCAGGCTCAGAGTTCAAGCCCCACTACCGGACCCCCCACCAACCAAAAAAAAAGCCAGATGTGAATGTATGGTTCAATTAGCCAAGCTTGCACATTAAAAGGTGAGGGAGAGTGTCCAGGGAGAGTGTTCAAGCCTCATACCACCTCCAAAGAAGTAAGAAAAAAAGAAAAGGATTGGAGAAAGGGAGGAAGGGAGGAAACAAGGGAGGAAGGAAGGAGGGAAGGAAGGAAGGAGGAACAAAAGTAAGCCTTTAGATAAATGGAGAAGCAAATATACCAATGAGAGGGAAAACGCTATGAGCAAAATGTAGATACAAGAATAGTTTAGCAATGTGCAAGTCGCTATGTCGAAAAACAAACTTTACAATTTAGGCGGGGGTGGGGGTGGGTATGTAGGGGTTGGGGGTGGGGGGTGTAGTTGAGGAGGTGGGAGGGATGGGATGGTAGGGGAAAAACAAAGGAGGAGGCAACATTGATGGATAAGAAATTATTGGTGGGAGTGTAAACTTGTTCAACCACTTTGGAAAGTAGTATGGAGGTTCCTCAAAAGACTCCACATAGAGCTCCCCTATGACCCAGCAATCCCACTTTTGGGCATTACCCAAATGTTCACAAACAAGACCACACTAAAGCTACCAGCACAACTATGTTTATTGCAACATTGTTTACCATAGCTAAGATATGGAACCAACCCAGATGCCCCTCAGTAGATGAATGGATCAACAAAATGTGGTATATGTACACAATGGAATTCTATGCCTCCATCAGAGAGAATGGCATTGCCCCATTTCTTAGGAAATGGAAAGACTTGGAAAAAATTATATTAAGTGAAGTAAGCCAGGCCCAAAGAAACATAGGTCCATGGTTTCCCTTATTTGAAATTACTAGTATATGTCTGAGACAAGCAGAAATGGTCAGATAAGTTGATGTTAGGCAAAATGAACCCCAAGATAAAGATTCAAATGTGTTTTTTTTCTTACGATTGTTTCTAACACATTTATAAGATGATTTCTTTGTCACTTTGTATGTCCCTCCCCCTGTTTTCACTGTATTTGATGTTGGTATACTTTGTGGAGGGGAAGGGAAAAACAAATTGTTTAAATAGGGATGCAGGTGGACCCATTGCAACAATGAGATATACATGTCATTATGTCAAAAAACGAACTTTACAACTTTGGGGGGGTGGATGGGAAGGGGAAACAAAGGAGGAGGCAACAATGCTCAATAAGAAATGTACTCATTACCTTGCTCATGTAACTGTAACCACGCTGTACAGTATTTTCACAATAAAAAACTTACTTTAAAAAAGAATAGTTGAGCAAAATAGAGACACGAAAGCCAGAATGAATAGATTGAAAGCATTTATAAAACAGTACTAGAAGTAGAGAAAAGGGATGACATAATTTTAATCAACTTGTCCTTATTTAGATAATCTGTGCCACAAGGGAAGACTAAGCCAATGTAAGCTATGAGAGCTCTACATTATGTTTATAAACTGTTGAGTAATTGATGTTGTAGGGATGTGCTTAGAACTGGCAGACAGTAACATCCTGGTAATTTGTCTCCATAGTACCAGCCTTCCTTCCCACTGTGGTTTGAAATAAACTTCCAGGAGAATGCCCGATACAGCGCTGGGACACAAGTGAGCGGGTCTCAATCTGGCATTACAGCAAAGAAGAAAGGCAGCTAGCTATCTCATCAAAGGCCCTTATATGACCCTGCTTGGTGCGTGGTCAGAGGACAAACGATTTCTCCTTCCAGCCTTTGGTTTCATTCAACAGTATTACAAATGCAAGATATTTTAGCAGTGTAAGTTTGAAACAAAGAAAAAAAAACTATTCACACTTTTTTGAGGATAAACAAAGCCTTTATCTTCACACCCTACGTGGGGAGCTCTTCATCATAGGTGGGCACCAGGTGTGGAAGACCCCCTGGGTGTGAGTCAACTGGAATTCACCCTTGTGTCTCAATGTGCATTTTTTAATTGTGAAAATACTTACAGAGGGGTTACAATTACATGGGCAAGATAATGAGTACATTTCTTATCTTAGCCTCCTCCCCTCTTTCCCCTTCCCATCCCTTCCCATTCTCCCCCCACCCCCCACCAAATCCCCCCCCTCCTGCACCAAAGTTGTAAAGTTCGTTTTCAACATAACAACTTGTACATCTCATTGTTGCGATGGGTCCACCTGTATCCCTATTTAAACGATTTGTTTTTCCCCTTCCCCTCCACAAATTATACTGACATCAAATACAGTAAAAGCAGGGGCTATACAGTGGGGGAGGGACATACAAAGCAACAAAGAAATCATCTTATAAATATGTTAGAAACAATCGCATGAAAGAAAAAAAACACTTGAATACAAATCTTAGGGTTCATTTCCCTAACATCAACTTATCTGACCTTTGCTGCTTGACTCAGACATATACTAGATATTGCATTTCAAAGAAAGGGTCTTTCAGATCTTTCATTCTGCTTAAATTTAGACTCTCCAATCTCCTACTGAGGCTCTTCTGAGGGTCTCACTGTTGTCAACTCGTTAGTTCCAAAGTCGCTCCTAAATTTAACTTGCTAAATGTAATAAAATATTCTGTCCCAAGGACAAGGGAAGGATGCAAAGTTTACTAGAAGAATTAGAAAGAAATAGAAATCGCATCATAGCATAAATCAGATGATCCCCAGCCCACTCTCTCCCCTTCTCCTGGGACACCAGCTGGTCCAGCTTCCCCATCATGTGCTGAGGGTAGAACTGCCACCTGTTGCAGAATAAGAGCAGAAGTGACATCATTTTCATCCCTGACCAATACCACCTCCTGTGTGCCGCCTCTGTTCTCTGTGCCTCGAAGCTCATTGCATCCTGACAGAGCTGGTAAGTCACAGCGGACTGTCTCTATATGTTCTGCAGTGGTATCTAGTTGACAAGGAATAAAGCTCTGGTGCACCAAGACATTACATTTTGGTTATGTGGTGTGTGTGTGTGTGTGTGTGTGTGTGTGTGTGTGTACCACAGGAATTACACTTCTACTCCTGACATTTTGTT